CCCCAAAACCCCAAAACCCCAAAACCCCAAAACCCCGAAAAAACAACCCTGAATTGAAAGCAAGTATTTATAATATTTTTAGCATAAATGTCAGAAACCTTATGCCCAGTCTGCTATTGAAACAATCTTAATGATAATAGCAAGCTACATTGTGGCTTTGAAGTTTGAGAGGAGTGCGTGGTTAATTGGGTAAAAACAGAGGCGAAATATGATTTTATCACTGCTGGAGACCCCACAAGGAGCGTCAGCGATGCTATTTCTAAGCAAGAAGGCAAAAATTACTCTACCATCATTGAGACAATCAAATGTATTAACATAAACTGCCAAAATGGAGAAGATGAAGAAGCTGAAGAAAAAGATATAGGGATTTTACATAGACTTACTTATGAAGAATGTCTTGATTTTGTCCAAAAGTCTCCTGACCAAAAGTACAGAGACCTTTTCTCCAACGCAATGTTGGATCTGTTAGTTCCTAACAGTAGGTCATCCATTAAATGCCCCAAACAAGGATGTGAATATGTTGGGTACGTAAACTTGAGAGATAAATGTAATGCAGAGATATCTTGCGAGCTTTGAGGCTATTCTTGGAGAGAGCCAGGTCTCACTCCATTTAGCTCGAAATTATTCAACTGATTATGAAGCTGGAAGTCCAACTTAAACCTTTTTACAGAACTTCAGAAAGTCATCAGAGCCCAAGCCTGCCCAGGATGTGGGATTAGTATTATTAAAGGCCCTGGATGCAAACATATGGTTTGCCAAAAATGAGAAAAAGAGTTCTGATGGATCTGTCTCGGTGATTATCCTGGATACAGACACCGAGGTGTTCTATTCTGTCCTTTCAGATTGATTCTGAAGATATTAATCTGGCTCTGGCTGATTTTATTCACTGTGAATCTTAAATTTATAATCATATTTCCTGCATACAGAAGGTTCACAGAAGATGCTATCAAGTGGATTGGAATCTGGTTGCTTGCAAATATCATGATGATATCATTAGGCTTGGCTCTTATATGGTACCAAATTGCAAAGGACAGCTTTGAGTATAGAGGGGGATGAAACACAGTAATGTACTATTTCTTAAGACTACTCTCGCTTATCTGGCCTCTTCTTTGGTGAGCCATGTGGGCATCCACTTATATCTTTTGGGATCTTGGTAAATCAATGCTATGGATTCTGCTATGGCAAACAGTTGCTCTTATTGGGCTTGCTATTATTGCCTTTCTTGTTTTTATTATTTCAAAATGTATTAAGCAAAAGCTGTATGTGAGAAGACAAAGAATTATGTACGAGCAAATTCAAGCAGCTAATGCATCAAATGCTGGTTATGGGGACTCCTTGGTTGACAATCAATATTATGATGAAAATGTTCTAGGTGTGAGACAGGAATTTATAAAGTCAGAACCTCCAAACCAAGATTCGTTAACCCAAAAGAGTTTTAAAAGATGTAAAAGAGTACGTTCTTAATTTCAGAAAATACTGAAAGAAATCTATTTTGATTCCAAAACCATCAGATCTTATAGAAATCATTCACTTTTGCAAAGCTAACCTCATCCCTTATAGACTAACTCATTCGAAGCTTGGGAGGCTAACGTCCATGCTGATCAAAGACTTGAGGAAGAGCCCCAATACAACAATGATTTACTTAGACTTCTAGGCAACAATTTACCAAATGATTCAAGCAATCCTCTTCTTGAAATAGATGCCATAAAGCCCAGGTAACTTAGTGAAGATATCATTTTTAACGATTCTTTGATTTTTAGTATTTTTATTCATCAAAATATCATCTAATCCTAACAAATTCGTATAATTTTTACCTAGAGCTAACAAGCGTAGAAATTCTATTCAAGGGATCTACACTTTCAATTGGGAAAAAGATAATAAAGAGAATAATAAAGAGCCAGAGGAGCGGAAATCTCTTTTATCAGTATCAGATTCAGGAGATAATGAATATTCCATACCAGTTGCACCCCTGAACGAGAGACCTCCTTCTTCTATACCAGATATCCACCAAATTCCCCCTAAGGAAATCTATTCAGATGAAGATATTAGCTTTTAGGCTTTTTTGATTAATAATAGGTTGTTTTTGTTAATTCAATAGTTTAATTTAAAGATGGGGTTTTGGGGTTTTGGGGTTTTGGGGTTTTGGGG